GTTCTCCTCACTAGCCATAATGTATGGTGGCCAGGTGGCCAGAAAGGTTGCTTGAGGCTGACCTCATCAGATGCCAGCTATCGAACAGAGTCCTGCCGCAAAGCAAGAGGGGACACCTCCAGAGCGGGCCATAATTTTGGACACCCAGAGGAATTCCAGTGGAAAATAGTGACCCTTCCAGTGGATGGGACAATCTTTAGAAACCCCACATATTTGGCTGCCAAGTCTTTAAGGTCTCCAGATTTTCTCTGAAACCAATCCATTGCACGCTTTGCCTCACACAGCTTAGTTCTCATTGCATGCCTTTATGCTACATGCTTGCTACATGTACATTACACAAAGCGTCCCGATGCATACCGCATACCTATAATATACCTACAAGGCCCCACTATATAACATTACATACCTATGTAGTATGTACTGTACATTGCCTCATCACTACTTAAATACTCCTTACACCCTATATATCTATATAACATCCCAAGCACCCCCAAAAAGGAATATGTGCTTCCTACACATGATTCATAGCGTACCTATACACAACTCATTGCATAGCGGCTTTGCGTGCCCATATGTTAGATATTTATATGCAATCTGTAGACTCCCCAAAAACGCCCCACTCCCCATATACTCACTATGAACTAGACATCAACCACGTACAGCTGCACAAACACTGGAACCCTCATATATATATATATATGGTGCAAAGAGAGATAGAGAGAGAGAGACGTATATGTATGTATATACATGTGTATATATATATATGTTATACATATATTATGTATATATATATATGTATTATGTATATATATAATATGTATGTATATATATATAAGTATGTATGTATGTTTATATATATATATGTAATGAAGATAAGTTATATTGATTCAACAACCTGAAATAGGGCCACTTGGAGATGACTCCATTTACTCACAATTGTTTCTAGTGCGGTCGCACTGAGCTTGTTTCAATTTATCGAAACATGATAATCCAACCCTTCCAGCCAAAACCAACCAACCAACCAAACAACAAACCTACCAACCTACCAACCTACCAACCTACCAACCAACCAACCAACCACGCAACAATTGCAAACGGACGGCAAACGCCCAAGCAGAGCAACTGCTGAAGCGGTGGGCTGCTTCCCCATGCAGTCCCCTGCACAAGTACTAGGACCCTTACGCTGCCCTTAAAAGACAGAGCAAATATGATAATCCATGTATGTATATCTACATATAATTACATATTATTTATATATATATATATATCATCGATACTTACTATTATGTATGGGTCAGACAATATCCTCTAAGGGTCCGCATATGTTGACCCGCCAGGTGAAACCGAAGATCTAATGCACAACCGCGCAACAAAGCGCGCACAATGTTCGGACGTCACTGTGACGATCATCCCAAACGAGAAAATTGGCCTACACAGAGTCTCTTCACTCTCCAGCACTTGACTTAGAAGCCTATATGATCCTATATGGTTTATAAGGGAACATCCGATTAAAATGGATGATTTAGGGGTACCCCCATGACTTTGGAAACCCGGAAACCCCCACATAGTTTGCTGGAAAATGACCTAGTCCAATAATTCAATCCCGGATTTTTCACAGTTGGGATATGTTGGGATGTTCTTTTGTCGTTTCTCCTAAGATCCCAGGACACCAGGCATTTCCAGCCCTTGGATTCGGCCTTTTTCTTTTCCATCCCAAGCTGCCGAAATTCACGGAGGGCCACATTCACCATCATTCACCCATGTTTTTGCTGGGTTTACAGCATACAAAGGGTGAATCACAAATGGATGTGGGTCAAAATGGAAGACCTAGGGGACCACAGATGTGAATGTCTAGTTTAGTATTAACCATCCATAATTTTGGGGTACCTAATTTTGACCCATACCCAAATAATCAGAAGATATCTTAAGCGCTGATTCGCCACCAAATATCACGGGATGATCATCCAGCCATAGGCGCTCATGCGCGGTGGTTCGCCACGCCGGTGGCGATCTGATGTAAATCGAAAATTCAGCCGCTGGACACCACTTCCCTTATGAAAAAAACTTCGGGCAATTTAACAAAGCTATTGAAAATTGTCACTTATGATTTAAAACCAATAAAAATTACCATTTTCCATAGCTATGCTCAATTAACAGAGGGTAAACATATGTAAGCAACAACAGAGCACTCCTCTATCTCTCTATCTAGATTCTCGGAAATTCCCGAAGTTCATCAGAGTTCATTATCTTTCATTCACTTTCATGCTTTCCCCAACTATCCTTCTCATTTATAATTTATATCATTGCATCCCTGTGTTTTGTTCGTTTGCTACCTATCCTATTCCATAATTGTTGCTAAGAAGTCGCCTAGTTACAACATGTTACAACACCCTTGACCCTCCAAAAGGACTTCCCAATTTCAGACCTTGCAAAAAAAGTTCAGCTAGTTGGTATATACAGTCAGTTGGAAAAAAAAAACTCCGATGGCCAGTTGCGTTCCTATCCGCAAACAGAAGAGCCTCCAAAACCCTGACATCCACTGGTGTGTACTGGTTGAGAGTTGGTTCCCATTTCGGAGGAAAAAAACAGATTGGGCCCCACTGCTAACCGTCATAATGCAGAAAATAGATTGAAATCCCGATATGTGTCAGTGCATCTGCTCGGTTCTAGTGCTAAAACAACAATTTGTGTTGGATGCCTTCTGGCAATCAAATCTGCTGGAACATTCCATTTATGTCGTAGGGAAATGGACCATCTGGACAAATTACCAAAAAACCAATGACAATCAAATGTTTCAAAAAAACATGGAGAAATGGACACATTACAATAGTTCCCCAATCATTAAAAAAAACAATGCGTGGATCATCCGGACAAATTATCACAATTTTCCAATCAGGAAAAAATAAAAATCATATGCGTACGCATCTTTTGGATGATTGCCCTCAACTGGAATCCACATCCAAACTCATATCATCCTTGGATGTGTTCTTCTCAAACTATACATCAACATCATTTAGGCCCAAAAATGAGGTGTTAAAAAGGGGTGAAATATGGGAAATGTAGCATACAAAGGATTCAAAAATGGGAAACACCAAGGATCGCGACATGTGAGCACAGTTCATGTAAATCATCTCATGGCCCAGCGCCCGTTGAGACATGGACATGTCTCACGTTGTTTCGGTGGTCACAAACCATCCCATCTTCATCAAAATGGATAGGATTTTGATAGATGTTTATCTTCTTCATTTCGAAGCAACTAGTTTCAATTTCAACAAAATTATTGATCAGTTTATTGCTCGGAGCAGGTGGCCACTGATGCTATGACATAGCAGTGTGAAACGTCTTTATCAACCACGTCGGGTGGTTGCAGAGCTTGGCTGCCCTGGCATGACCCCGAGCCATGGCCATGGAACTCACACATGTTCATCGCACCTGAAGAAATTGAGATATGTAATATAATATATAACTATGTTGATCACATATATTTGTATGTATATACATTATAGATCATTTAAAGAAATGAATATGGAACATATATGGGCGTCAAAAAACGGATAAATACCCAAAATGGAAATGCTGGCACGAACATGATGATAAACCGTAAACCATACCAGTAACTTCAAAATGGTAAGAATTCTAAAACCTGATCCTTCACCTGGGTCAAAAAACGGATGAAAGACTCAGGGGATTCATGACTTTCAACATATACCTGGTATAAAATTGAGGTGGTGCCCCCCATGAAACCAACCAGGGGTCAACACCAATCCGAGGCTAGTTCCCCAAAAAGTGTGTCACTGAGAGGATCGTATGGTAGGAGTTAAAGGGCCAGAGTTAGATCAGAGTGCTCCATCTGGCCTCCGGCTTTTGACTGCGCAGGCTCGCACGAAGTGAGCGTCCCGTTGTGCTCCTTTCCGAAGTGTCGTTTTACTGGCGCGCCGTGCTCATTTTTTGGCCCATGTCCATTGTTTCATGTGGCAAGCGTGGGCCATCCGGGAGAGGTGGTTTTGGACTGTCAGAAGTCTTTGCATGATCTGTACAGGTCCTCATGAGAAGATCTTGTGAAGATCCTGCTGACACCCTCTATGCACGTCCTTGCATGATCTTGCACAGGTCGTCCTCGCTACGAGGTTCTTGCATTGTCTTGCACAGGTCTTGTCAGAAGATCTTGTGGAGATCCCGTAAGATCCTCTGTAAGAGGTCCTTGCATGAAGATCTTGCAGATGCCAAGTGTTAGAGGTGCTTCTATGCAAGCTCTTCCGCGATGCTCCTGGGAGGTTCTTGTATCAAGATCTTGTAGATCCTCTCCAGCAGCAGCAAGTCATTTTTTGATGGTCTTGTGGGATTCTCTTAGGGGTCCTGGCATGCAGATCTTGGTCATGGTCTTTTACAATTCCTTGCCAGAAACTCTTGTAGAGATCCTGGTGAAATCCTCTAAGAGGTCCTTGCATGATCGTGCGCAGGTTCTTGTCAGAAGATCTTGTGGGGATCCTGTTGAAATCATCCTTAAGAGGCCCTTGCATTAAGATCTTGAAGGTGCTCTGCATTGGTGCTTGTATGAAAGTTCTTCTGGGATGTTGGTAGACAGTTCTTGTATGAAGATCTTGTGAGATCCTCTATGTAGAAGGTCCATCTTTGACGATCTTTTGAAATTATCTTAGATGTCCTGGTATGAGGTTGTAGTATTGGGTCCTGATGAGTAGAAATAGCCTTGCTTCTTGTGCCAAAACAAATTCCTGCTGATGCAGTTCTGATAACGTCTAACCTGATCTGTTACTGTTTCATAGCTACTGCTGCTTGTATCTGGTACATTGACTTCCTACCTACCCCACACACACACATTGTTTGGGGTCTCTCGCGTCTTGCCGGCATTAATTCTGGGATGACACCCTGGGATGAGTTGTTAGGCTTGCGCTTCACTATCCAAGTCTATCAACCTGCCAAGCTCTGGTAGTCTTGGAGCCTTCCCGTGATGAATCCCATGGGCTACTGATAGGTTCAGTGATAGTTCTGGCCTAAGCTCGTTTCGTTCCGTGCCATACCAGGCTTCACCGAAGCAGGCTGAAACCTCGGTGAGCGACTTTCAAATACCGCCATAGGGATCTTTCATGGCTAAGGCTATCAAGAATAGTATAGAGTTTGTTTTTTTCATGCATAGGGTTCAAGTATACAATTTGTGCAATTGTCAATTTGGATTGTGGAAAAACTCCATCATCCCACACCATCGTCAACCCGTTGAGGGGATGGTGATTCCTCATCAGTAAATAAACATCCTTGTACATATTACAAACATCGCAAAATATCACAAATATGCAGGTTTAACGCATTTAAAACCATCAAGCTGGATATATGGGGATAGACCCTCTGGCAATTTGACAAGGCTATGGAACATCGCAAATTTTGGTTCGATAATTTACCTATTAGAACTTGTGATGTTCCTTGGCCATGTTAGTTCACTGGAGGATACCCGTCCGGTAATCAAACGTGGCTGGAACATCGCCCCTTGAGCTTGATGATTTCCTGCATAGCTAGCTTGGGGATTTCCAGTCATATGTTATATAGTCTACTATAGAGGCTACTAATATCATCATCTTTTGGCTTTTCTTAAAACCCATGATATAAACCATCAGTTTTGCCGCTTCTATAAATTCCATTGACCCATCAGTCTTCGGTGGATCCATCGCTTGATTGGTGACAGTTGGCTCATCGCTGAAGATGGCCCTGTCGGCGAGGTCTCTTGACCGGGGGAGCAGCGCCGCCTCCGGAGCCCCGGAGATCTGTGAATTTCGTGGAACACAACCAACAGTGGTGATGTCAATATGGTTGATGGCACTGGGGTTTAACCGTTTAACCGCCAAGAAATGCGGGTAAATTACCAGTAGTACCGCACAAGGCGGTGGCGGAAGTTTCAAAGATAGGACACTACAGAGCGGTGAGTTAATGCGATGCATGGATGGCAGAGCGAAAATCCACTGATGGACCGAAAGGTGATTGGAGTTGTGTTTTTTGGGGTGGTTGCATTGGTTGCAGTGGTCACCTCACCCACAACTGCTGGATGTAGTGTGGTGTAGCGCAGCTGTAGTTGTAGTTGTAGCGTAGTGGAGTTGTAGTTGTAGTGTAGTGTAATTAGCGTAGTGTAGTTGCAGTTGTAGTTGTGGTGTGGCATAATGAATGTAGTGTCATGTAGTGTAGTGTAGTGTAGTGTAGTGTAGTGTAGTGTTGAGTGCTGTAGTGTAGTGTAAAGTAGCGTAGCTGTAGCTGTAGCTGTAGTTGTAGTTAGTGTAGCGTAGTGTAGCGTAGTGTGGTGTAATTAGGGTAGTGTCGTGTAATGTAGTGTAGTTGTAGTCGTAGTCGTAGTTGAAAATGTAATTGTAGCTGTAGTTGTCTTGTAGTGTAATTAGTGCAGCGTAGTGTTGTGTAATGTAGTGTAGTTGTAGTTGTAGTTGTAATTGTAGTTGTAGTTGTAGTTGTAGTGTAGTGTGGTGTAGTGTAGGGTAGTCTAATGCAATTAGTGTAGTGTAATGTAGTGTAGTGTAGGTGTAGTTGTAGCTGTAGTAGTAATGGTACGCGCAAACACCCCAATTCGCCCACACACATTTCATGCTGCACACTTGGGGGATAACAAACGTCACACTTTACATTCAATTGGGAAGATCAACAAGGGTATTTAGGGAATATGAATTTCCCACCCCGTCCAACTTTACATTCATTGAAGATCTTCAATAAGGGTTTAATTCTCCCACCGCCGTTGAACTTCTACATTCATTGAAGATCTTCAATAAGGGTTTAATTCTCCCACCCCCGTTAAACTTCTACATTCGATGAAGATCTTCAATAAGGGTTTAATTCTCCCACCCCCATTAAACTTCTACATTCACTGAAGATCTTCAATAAGGGTTTAATTCTCCCACCCCCGTTAAACTTCTACATTCAATGAAGATCTTCAATAAGGGTTTACTTCTCCACCCCCGTGAAACTTCTACATTCATTGAAGATTTTCAATAAGGGTTTAATTCTCCCACCCCCGTAAAACTTCTACATTCATTGAAGATCTTCAATAAGGGCTTAATTCTCCCACCCCCGTTAAACTTCTACATTCATTGAAGATCTTCAATAACGGTTTGATGATGATGATGATGATGGTGTGTAAGAGACTCGCACAGGTCCCTAAGCTGTGCGTGCCGATATACAACATGAAGTTAGCCATGATGCAAAAAAAAAAACTCTCATTTTTACCACATTTTCAGCACATACGAAGATGGCCGCCGACAAGCGCGGGCAAATCGAGGTGTTTGCCCGTAATGGTACTTGTAGTTTTAGTGTAATTAGTGTAGTGTACTGTAATTGTGTAGTGTAGTGTAATTAGTGTAGTGCAGTGTAATTAGTGTAGTGTAGTGTAATTAGTGTACTGTAGCGTAGTATATTTGTATTTGTATTCGTAGTTGTAGTGGTAGTGTAGTAGTAGTTGGCAGTTGTAGTTGTAAATGTCTATCTGTCATCTGTCTATCTGTCTATCTGTCTGTCTATCTATCTATCTATCTATCTAACTGTCTATCTGCAAGCTTGAAAATGGAGCTATTCTGTGAGACCTGCTCACTTTCTAAACTTGACAGCATCTAAAACGCTGCAATTCTACAAGATTTCCTCAGTTGCCGTTGACCACGTGCCAAGTGTCAAGCTCTGAAGCCCGCTTAGCAAGGTACTCAGAAGACGGGGGCACGCCCAGTAATAACATCAACTAAGACTGGGGCAGGCATCAAACAACGTGAGAGAAGACGCTTTCGTTTCCACACCTGCCGAGCCGGCCCGCTGCAACGACAAAGGTGATAAAAAAAAAATGTTGTTTTTTAGGCCAAATATCCTTTAGCCTAATGGCTAAGGCGCCGTCCTATAATTTTGTTACCTTTGTCGTCCGGAGGTGAAAAGATCAATTCCTGCGGGGTTCCCTTCTTTTTCTTTATGGATTTTTCTTTCCTTTTCAAGCCGCGGCCCCACAAAAGGAAGATGTTAAAAAAGCAATTTTTGGCCAGAAAAAAAACTTGCTCACGCCCCGCGGCCCCATCCCTAAAAAAACCAGCTCTGGAGGAAGACGGAAAAAACGTTTTTCGGCAAGCGAAAATCACTTTTTCAAGCCCCTACCCCCCAAGGCACCAGCTCTAAGAGAAAAAAAACGGTTTTCGGCAAGCAAAAATCACTTTTTCAAGCCCCTACCCCTTCCAAGGCACCAGCTATGGAAGAAGAGCCCCTACCTGGAGGAAATTGGAAAAAACGATTTTGGCAAACAAAAATCACATTTCCCATAGTGTGGCCTTTCCAAGCACCAACTTTGCAGATACATCCGAAAGAATGACTTTCAGCAAGCAAAAACAATCTTTTCAAATCTTGGCCCCTTCTAACCACCAGCTCTGGAAGAACAAGCACCAAACGATTTTTTGGATCCGAAATTCATTTACCCCATCAATTTTCATCTAGATTTTCATCCACGATAATCGATTTTTTCAAGCCAAAAGCAAGTACATCAGGCCATGTGTTGGGCATATATGTGAATCTTATCGTTTTTTCTTCCTTATCGTTTTGCCTGAAAATCAAACTAAAGGACGTACCAATACTAAATGCCAATACCCACCCCTTTTTACACAACCTCCCCTGTTCTTGTGAGTTCAAGATATGTGGTATACATAGAATAACCAATGAAATACATATACCTATACATTTATGTGGGCTTGTCTGAGAATGGAGTACCCCTAGATGTACTGGTTCCATCAAATTTACCATTACAGTAAATGATCATTTTGGTGGTATACCCATTTGTATATCAAATAAAACCGAGAAAAAACACAACGAACCTCATTATTGGCTCAACTTTTGCACGCAGCTTGGGGATGCCCCTTCCTTAGTAAACATCGACTGAGAATGACTAAGATAACAAACATGATCAAACAACAAGGAATCAATTGCTGTAAATCATAAAAACCATCTACCCTCTGGTTAAGAGTTTGGCATAAAATGTACAAAATGTACAAGCCATGAGGGTACTTGCACGCATGCAGTTTATCGCTTCTTCTATCGTTGATCATGTTTTGCCAGATTTTACCATCCAAACATCTCCAAACTCTGGAGACTTCAGAGTTTTGAGCCCCAATCACCACGTCACCAAGTCACCATTGGGCCCCTTGAAAAAAAGGGCGCCTGTCGATCCACCAATGAATCAAGCGCGCCTGAGGAGGCCATGATCGAGGTGATGCTGGCCAGTGTGTAGTTGATTCCATGTAAAAGATGGTGGTGTCCCAGCAACTATGTTCCATTATCAAAAGGTAACCAAAAAACTTGGGGATATCATTGCTGTTAAAATGGGAATATGTCACCAACGACTAGTGAAATATCATTGATTGAGCCGTCACAGCAACAAAAGCCCCTATCTCATCCCATGAAATATTGCTTAGTAAAAAGATATCCCCGTTGTTAATGGTTGTCCCAAGTAACCATCAACAAATCAGTTAGGTTAATAACCCGCTTTGTCAATCCATCAACCAGGGTATTGTTCAATAACTCAATTGGCGGCTTGCCATAGAATTATAATGGGGATTATAGCCATCAAATACAGCGATCATAAGGCAATTATCATGGGGATAATGATAACTCACAATCAACCATGGATATTGACTAAGCATTGGGGGTTGTTTGAAAATCGAGGACATCGCAATTTATGGCAATTCTAATGGTGAATATGATTATCATGGTACCCTGCTTTTAGAGCAATGGTGCTTAGATGGGCCTTTTTCGAGTACAGTAAGTTAGAAATTGGTTATATCCGAAGTTATATCACCTACTAATCACCTACTAATAGTGATAGTGGGTATAGTAAGGGTTTTACTTATACAAACAGAGGGTATGATGTACAATATCATTCCACTTTTTTGGTGGTACATGAATGGCATAGCTATAGATATATAAATATAAATTGTACATCTGCGTGAATGAATTATTTTAGGATAATTATTTATATCCGCCGACCCCGGCCTTCGCCAAGGCAGGGGCGGCGCCTGGGACCACCGCAGGTGTGGAACTTGTCTTTCTTAGCAACAGGCATCCCAAGGCCACATCCATGGCTTTTTATGGGCGTCCAAGCTTGCCGTTTGCCAGCCCTAAAACGCTCCAAACCCTACAACCCCTCAAAGTCCACTTCCATGGCTTCTTATGGGCTTCCAGCGCAGGCAAAAGCTACCCCAAGGCCAGATCCATTGCTGTTTCTGGGCGGTCCAGCGTGCCGTTCGCCAGGCATTCGCAGCCAACGGGCATCCGAAGGCCACTTCAATGGCCTAAAACCCTCCAAACCCCTAAAACCCCAGGCCACTTCAATGGCTTCTTATGGGCTTCCAGCGCATCCATGGCTTTTTATGGGCGTCCAAGCTTGCCGTTTGCCAGGCCTAAAACCCTCCAAACCCTCCAAACCCCTAAAACCCCTAAAACACTTCAATGGCTTCTTATGGGCTTCCAGCGCAGGCAAAAGCCCACATCCATGGCTTTTTATGGGCGTCCAAGCTTGCGGTTTGCCAGGCCTAAAACCCTCCAAACCCCCAAAACCCCTAAAAGGCCACTTCAATGGCTTCTTATGGGCTTCCAGCGCAGGCAAAAGCCCACATCCATGGCTTTTTATGGGCGTCCAAGCTTGCCGTTTGCCAGGCCTAAAACCCTCCAAACCCCTAAAACCCTCCAAACCCCTAAAACCCCTAAAAGGCCGCTTCAATGGCTTCTTATGGGCTTCCAGCGCAGGCAAAAGCCCACATCCATGGCTTTTTATGGGCGTCCAAGCTTGCCATTTGCCAGGCCTAAAACCCTCCAAACCCCTAAAACCCCTAAAAGGCCACTTCAATGGCTTCTTATGGGCTTCCAGCGCAGGCAAAAGCCCACATCCATGGCTTTTTCTGGGCGTCCAAGCTTGCCGTTTGCCAGGCCTAAAACCCTCCAAACCCCTAAAACCCCTAAAAGGCCACTTCAATGGCTTCTTCTGGGCTTCCACCGCAGGCAAAAGCCCACATCCATGGCTTTTTATCCAAGCTTGCCGTTTGCCAGGCCTAAAACCCTCCAAACCCCTAAAACCCCTAAAACACTTCAATGGCTTCTTATGGGCTTCCAGCGCAGGCAAAAGTCCACATCCATGGCT